TTTCACGACGCGACTCGCGGAGCTAAGAACTCGTTAAACCAACCTGTTTCCTCGAACGGTGGCGAACCACGGAGCATAAATCGGGCGGAATGGCCGAGGGAATTAACAATCATTTTTTAACAATTTCCTACGGTAATTGCCGTCCACGTGCATATAATGTACTTGCCTCGAGCCGCGCCGTTAATTGCGAGTCGAGAATACTTTTCTCATATTTTTTTTTTTTTCCGAGAGAATTCGCAACACGTGGAAACGAGCGAACGAATTAATTCATTGTTCGATTAGAAAAAAGAAAAAAGAATGGTATCTAGGTTGTCGATATCGATTCTGGCTCGACCGTGAGAAGAAAAAAAATATACGACGCCTTCTTCCTTTTTTTCGATCGAATTTTAAAAAAACGCTTGTACAAAATTTTACATTTATATACACACACAACATTGTAGTATATTTGTTGTAAACATCCCCGTAATCTACTTTTGAAATTGAAATTAAAAATCGTGACAGAAAAAATGAAAATTGAATAAACTTTTATATTGCAATGATATGTAAATTAAAAAAGAAAGGAAAGAAAAAGAAAGATCCAAATATTTAAGTTAATAAATATCCGGTGGAATATCCGTCCATTTTTTATAATATTTTTCCAAGAGACAAGAAAGAAGGTTGGTGTAAAAAATATTTCGTGATAAGGCTTAAAGTAAAAAAAGTCTTTGCAAAGATGTTTCGTGAACGGCACACACAGGCGAGCCATAAAAGCTTTTTACTTTGAGGATACACTTTGGCCGAGGCATAATTAATTCCCTTGGGAACCGGAAGCTTGCATTCCCATGGAAACCAGTAACACCACCGGTAATTCCGGTAACTGGGTGCACATATTAGCCAGTCTCCATCCAGGCAAAAGAGGAGTCCTGCGATTATTCTCAGTCGGGCAATATCGAGCAGCCAGTCAATTATTTTATGACAATTGTTGTGTACGAACGGATAAGTCGATGAAAATTGGTAATTTTTAACAGTTTTTAAGTTTTCGAACGATTATAATTGTGCAAGTTTTTAAGATAAAATTTGTACTCCAATTTCAATCCTTTTCCTGTATTTATATATATATAAATTTTAATTTAATAAATTATTCTTTTAAAACATCCAGTATATATATTAATATCTTTAATAGAGTTAGATCTTTGCATCCCAATTTCAATTTTTTTATTTTCAATTATAAATTTCAATTTAATAAATTATTCTTTTAAGACATCCAACATATAAATCAATATCTTTGATACAGACAAATCTTTGCATTCCAACTTTAATTCATCTTTTTATAAATCATTCTTTTAAGTATATATATAGATCAATACCTTTAGTAAAGACAAATCTTCTTTGCATTCCAACTTCAATTCTTCTTTTTATAAAATCTCTTCTTTTTATATATGTCATTCTTTTAAGACGTATATATATGTCAATATCTTTAGTAAAGACAAATCTTTTTTGCATTCCAACTTTAATTTCATAAATTATTCTTTTAATTTATAATTTATAATATATAATTATATCTCTTTTTATAAATTATTCTTTTAAGATGTATATATATCAATATATGTCAATATCTTTAGAGATAAATCTTTGCATTCCAACTTTAATTCTTTATTTTCATTATTCTTTTAAGACGTAATATATATGTCAATATCTTTAATACAGATCTTTGCATCTCAACTTCAATTTTTTATTTTATTTCCACAATTTTTCAATTATAAATTTCAATTTCGTAAATTTTATTATTCCAAGACACAATGTAAAATTTCAATAATCAAAAAGAGAAAAAAAAACAAATCTCTGCTTCACATCTCGAGTTAGATTTATATTCTTCGCAACACGTCACGTTGGTGTAAGTCTATCCAACTGTGAACTCCAATTTTACTAAAACCATTCCTTCAACTTTTATATTTAAACTTTCCATCATTACCCACAAGCTTCTAATTCTCTCTCTCTCTCTCTTTCTCTCTTTCCATCCATGCCACATAGAGATTCTCAGAAATTACGAAATTTTTACTTTTTGTTGCGCGCATTTGTTCCAAATCTCAGAGTTTCCGCCAAGTTTCGCGGCAACGAGGCGGAAAACGCGAATGATTTAGAAACTCGAAGAGAACCAACTCACCTCGAAGGAACGAGAATGCGATTAGATTCTTTTTTTTTTTTTTCCTTTCTTGATAGGAGAACAGAAGAGATCCGTATCTTTGTATAATTGTATCGATGACAAACAAGGTGGTGCTCGAAGAAGCGATGACAGTGTAAAATAGATTGCGTTATTTCGATGTAAATGGATTGCGTTGAATTCATAGGTAACAGTTTTAAGGATGGAATGTGCGCGTTGGTAACGTTGAGAGAATTCTAAGGTGTGTTAGAATGAGTTATAATAATCGTCGTGTCATTTTCAATCTGAGAATGTTAAGAAAATATTATAATTTTGTTTATGATCTAATTATATATATACTGATTATATTATGTATATGTTATATTCATTTCCTTTGTTTCATACTTTGTTTCATAATTTGCATAATTTTTTGTTGAAGAGAGAATATACAGAAATTTTGACATTTATTAGCAGGAATACAACTTTTAACAGAGTATAAAAAGTATATACTATATAGAAAGTTTAAAATATTTCATTACAATTTTTAAATACTATATCTTTTCTTTTTCTAAATCATAAATTATCAAATTAATCATAAGTTACAATGTATAAATTCTTCTCACCAAAATTATAAATCTTTACAATATGATATAACAATGATATTCTATAATTTTTTGTTATAAAATGAGAGAAAAATATTGATACATGGTTTCACAGACATATTTTGACATATATTGACAATTTTGGAAAGTTTGTCATATGGAAAGTTTAAAAGTTAAGATACCTTTTTCATTAAAATTTTTAAATATCTTTTTCTTTTCCAAATCATAAATTACCAGATTAATGATATATAAGTTGTAATGTGTAAATTTTTCTCACCAGAATTACAAACCGTCATGATATAACAATGATATTCTACAATTACAACCTAATCTACGTAGAAACCTCGAGGTAAAGGGTCAAACAATGGGAGCAGAATATCTGTCCAGATGGACGGAAGATGTAAACGTAACCATAAGCGTAATCCTAATGGCTCTTCGCGGTTCACCTGCAAGCATAATCCTTCCACTGAATTACTAATTTGCATATTTGCCGAGATTGTCCTTTACTCGATGTTAATTACAAATTACCAATGATGAGAATTTAATTGGTTTGAAAGGATACAATATTTTTGAACGTTAAAAACATTCATGTGAATTGATTCAAATGTTAAATTTAATTATTTGCATTAGAGACTAAAATTCATGATCTGTTTGTAATAAATTCTAATTCTATTAATTAATAATTGTTTAATAGCACTTTACCTAAAATTCCTTGTTCTTAATATTTTAAACTTCAGAAAATTGGAATATTTTGGATTCTTTTTATTCACATCATAATCTTTCAAGAATTGGCATCTGATGTAACATCTTTGCTTAATTATCCATTTATACATCAATGAATCAATAGCTTCTCTATTAAATAATATTCTAAACTTCAGAAAATTGGAATATTTTGAATTCTTATTATTCACATCATAATTTTTCAACAATAGACATCTGATGTAACATCTCTGCTTAATTATCCATTTATACATCAATGAATCAATAGCTTCTCTATTAAATAATATTCTAAACTTCAGAAAATTGGAATATTTTGAATTCTTATTATTCATATCATAATTTTTCAATATTTAAGAATTGAGTAATGTAATATCTCTAAATTATATATTTACACAATAGCTCCTCTATTAAATAATATTCTAAGCTTCAGAAAAATGGAATACTTTGGATTTTTTTTATTTACATCATAAGTTTTCAATTCAAAAATTGGAATTTAATGTAATATTTCTAAATTATTTATTTACACATCAATAGCTTTTCTATTATAATTTTTATTTAAATGATCCATTCAATTTTCGATTTTCAAAGCCTGGTATTATAACACAGATCCATTCAACCTCCTTACAAATTCAAAATTAAAATTATAACACGTTTCACGTATTCCTCCACGTTCAATCCGCTCTTATAATATTAAAGAACACGAAATGGTGTTAAGGGAGAGAGAGGTCACTGGTAATACGGCAATATAATATGAATAAAGAGAAGTTGGCAAGTTAGTTTAATTGAGGATCAACGGGTCGAGTTTAAAGTGCAATAAACATTTGCAGCCAAAAAGCTCAACAATCGTGCATATTATTCCACATAACTTGAACACGATTTATTCACCTATACGTGCAATACATCCGAGCTTTGCTGTTTGAATTTTCATTGGACGAAACTGCACGTTTCCTGAAAATATTCCTGGGATTAATAAATTTTATTAGATGCGTTATTAAAAAGGAACGAATTAGGCAAATTTTGATTCAGTTCAGTTCAATATTTGAAGGAATGAAGGAATAAATAAATTAGAAAAATTTTCCAATTACTTAAATTACAAAATTTAAAGGAAGAATGTTTAACAAAATATAATTAATATATAATTTGATTCAAAAAATTATTTAACTTGAAAAGAAAATATGTATAATATTTTGAAGACGTAAAAGATAAGATACGTATTAATAAATCATCATAAAAAAAAATCTGTAAATTTTTGAATCGATTAACAAATTAATAAATAAATAAATCATTTATCACAATCCAATCTCTTGAAACCAGCGAATCTGTTTAAACATCACTTAAGAATCTTTGTTTCAACTTCTAATTATATTAGTAAGCTCTTATCATTGGAATTCATGTTTAAGTAGTAATTTCTCTGGCGAAGCCACGAGGAATTCAAATATTTGCCGATTCTTGCGTTAATCCCGAATTATTATTATTATTATTATTATTACCGCGGTGAAATACGTTTGCCATTGCGAATTAGCTCGATTAAAGCTGGAACTTGGTACAGCAAACAAGATGTGTCGATTCGGGTTCGCAGCTACAATTTGCATTCCAATAATCGCGGTTTAATAATCGTAATAACATCACTGATTCGGTTTGGCTTGGTTTGGTGGGTACACTCGTTATTAACACTGTTTCAATGGAAACTTGAATGGATACGAAGTTGGAAATTTCAAATGGTTGTAAAAATTATGAACGAAACGAGATATAAAATCTTCTATGATGACTTTATAATTTGTCCATACTTATATCCATTATTTTTCATTGTAGTGAAGCTAAATAAAGTATATAAGTACACTTCATGCAACAAAGTTTGTATTAACAATTTTTAGAACTTATAAATATGTATGTTAAATATTCTCATTCTATTGTTCACTTCTATTGTCTAATAAAACATTTTTCTTCTCATTTGCCTTATAGGAAAAATGTGAAACAGTTTAATAATCAAACTCTATAACATCAAATTTCTATCCAACTTGATTATTATACATATTATTTAATAAAACATTTTTCTTCTCATTTTCCTTATAGGAACAGTTTAATAATCAAACTCTATATTATTAAATTTCTATCCAAATTGATTATTATACATATTGTCTAATAAAACATTTTTCTTCTCATTGTCCTTATAGGAAAATGTGAAACAGTTTAATAATCAAGCTCTATAACATTAAATTTCTATCCAACTTGATTATTATACATATTGTCTAATAAAACATTTTTCTTCTCATTGTCCTTATAGGAAAATGTGAAACAGTTTAATAATCCAGCTCTATAACATTAAATTTCTATCCAACTTGATTATTATACATATTGTCTAATAAAACATTTTTCTTCTCATTGTCCTTATAGGAAAAATGTGAAACAATTTAATAATCAAGCTCTATAACATCAAATTTCTATCCAACTTGATTATTATACATATTATTTAATAAAACATTTTTCTTCTCATTCTCCTTATAGGAAAAATGTGAAACAGTTTAATAATCAAGCTCTATAACATTAAATTTCTATCCAACTTGATTATTNCAATTTAATAATCAAGCTCTATAACATCAAATTTCTATCCAACTTGATTATTATACATATTATTTAATAAAACATTTTT